CCCCATTCAACTATTCAGAAAGTCTGTGGATTCATAGACTTGATTCAGTTTGACCTAACGGTTTAAATGAGTTAAATCCAGGGGGTTTCAAAATCATTCATAATCGTGCATAATTTTTCCGTACTTGTAAAATTTTACCTAAGTTTTAAGCTAACCTTTCATGTTATGTATCCAAGTCTATAACGTCATCATTCCCACGATGTCATAACTTCCTATGATGTCATAACTGACTTCCAGTCATTTTGTATTTAGTTCTTCATCCCTGAAGAAGTTAGTGTTTTTACTGATGAAACATTGGATAAAACAATGGTTTTATATCACACTGAAATGTGGTCATATATTGTCATTGACTCTGTCTGGCGTCCACAATTGACTTTAAACAAAGTGTTTACGGTCTTGAGACGAAGAAGCCTATTGATTTTCAATGATTTCCGATAATTACTGTCAGAATTATGGCCCTTGATCACATTGAAATATCTTGTGGACGCTCTAGAGACTAAAGTCAATATCCGATTGACTTTAAATTTATACACAGTGTTCAACGATTTCTGATTATTACTGTCAAGATTTATGGTCCTTGATCACTTATGCTCACTCTAGAGGCCAAAGTTAATATCCGATTGACTTTAAATTTATACACAGTGTATTAGGTCATCAGACGAAGAATCCTATTTATTTTCAACGATATCCGATGATTACTGCCAGATTTAGATTTATGATCCTTGGTCACTTTGAAAAGTCTTATGGATGCTATAGTGATCATATAATTATCATCTGATTGATTTTATATTTATACACCGTGTTTACACCTATATATAATCGTTTCGATTGACTTTAGATTAATACACAGAAGGTCTTGAGACAAACAAGTATATTGATTTTCAATAACTTGAACAGTTAAATCCATGATATTAAATGTTTTGTACACTAAATGTTCACATGGGCCAAACAAATCCTAATATAGTAATGATTTTCTCATATTTACTTAATGAGTTGTTACTCTTACTCAGATTTTAGTGTATTATTAATGTTTCATTACCAACAAAAGTTGAAAATATGTGACAACCCTTGTTGATGGTCCGGACGATTTAGCTGCTGTGGGCATGTTTTGTTTCCTGGCAACCTATCTTTAAAACTTGAAGTGAATTATCACCATGGGGTTGAAATTATAATACAGATTTAGATACATATGTATTAACTATTATGACTGCTCTTTTGACATCTACATAAATAATACAAATTAATGTGAAGGTGTACACATAGTGTTCTGATAAAGTAATTGATAAAACGTCCATCAAGATAAGATTAAATCATAAGATGTTTCTTGTGTTACATATTCATGTGATGAAAATATTAAAACATAGGTAGATAGGCAGATAGATAGGGCATCTTTTTATAGCCAATGTCTTGTACTTGTTGATTGTTTCTTCCTCATGTGATGAAAATATTAAAACATAGGTAGATAGGCAGATAGATAGGGCATCTTTTTATAGCCAATGTCTTGTACTTTTTGATTGTTTCTTCCTCATGGATGCTAGCAGTAAAGTATCCAAGTGGTTACAGGTATAGTTAATTGATTTCTGCTGTATCAATCTGATTGATTTTGATGTTTCATTTCAGATTTTTTAAAAATAGATAACAGTAAAGGTAGCAAGTGTTAATTTGAATAGGTTTTGTTTGATGACAGCATTTTAGTACAAGTTGTTTGTTTAAACAATATTCTGTATTACATTGGTACAAAATAAAGAACAGACCAGGGATATCATGGTTGTCAAATTTGGCCTAAATATTGTCATAAATCACAGGTTTTACAAATTTGAATTTTCTATTTCCATTAGAGCAGATAATAAGTTGATAGCCTGCCATTTGCTACAGTGGTTTTTATTACAAATTTAAAGTCCTGTTTACTATACCCTTACATTTTTGTACTGTACTTTATTAGTATTATTACATACATTACATTAACCAATTTCAGTCTAGAGGGAGTGTTTTGAATTTGAACTTTTATCGCATGAAAATTATGTCAAAAATCTAAGAATATTGAACCACTATATATTTTGTGGTTGTGTCCATGGATGAGTCAACTTCTGATGATTTACTGAAATGAATAAACTTATCAATTGTAATTTCCCACATTAATGTATTTGTGAAATCATTTTAAAGACTAGTAACTAACTAATAATACTCTGACTTTGAACCATTCACATTTCACTAGGTAAATGTCTATATAATTTTATATCCATAACTTCTAACTTCCTGGGCTGGACGTGGCTTAAAATAGTCATCAAGAACTATTTATACTTAAGGGTGTTGCCATGTCTAACCTATGATAACTTTGCAATTACTTTAATATTATTTTCAAACTCTGTTCCATATAAATTTGGTATGATCTTTAAATAGACATCTGAAGCTGTGATTCAAGTCATAGTTTGGGCACACATCTCTCGTGGTTTTAAACATATTGAATTTTGAAATCAGCTTAAAAATGATCAAATTTCGTCCTAAATCTAAAAAGTTCTCTGTCTTGCCTGATCCGAATTAAATAATTTTTGGCATACAAATAGCTAAGCTAGTTCCTGATAAAAAATATGCGAGTGTTTTTTTCATGGTGCCAATAATAATGCCAAAATTCCTGCAAATCAAATCAAATTCCCGCAAAAATTCATAGATCGTTATGACATGTAAATTAGTCTGAAATAAAATTTATTTCATATAATCACAATTTGTCCCATAGAAATGTTCTTCCAATTGTAAGCTTCAATTTGACGCTTGGTTTATTAAAATCTGTTGAGTAGAACTTGGATTTCTTTCATTGTCTTCCTTGTTTACAAAAAATGTCCTTTTGAATCATGACGTATTTTTGTTAGTAAGTAATGCGATTCGTAGAAAATTGGACAAAATATCATGAATTAGCAATGAGTAGACTTTGCCGCTGCTATCTGTGTATTTTATGAAATTAATATGAGATATTCGTCCCACAAAATAAGGAAAGAGAATCGAGCCAATTTTTCGTTATCGGCAAAATAACCATGTATACATAGTTATTTTCTTTTTCCTTTTTGGGCCTAATCAGTTGCAGTAACACTGTATAGAATTTACGCCTCGATCATGTTTGCCGCATCACAACTTGTGTACGTACAACCAGATTAGATCAAAATAAACCAAATCATAGGAAAAAAATCTAATTATTAATTATTCCAGAAGTAGTAGATAGTGATCAAGACGTTTTGGTTGTCAGAATCTAATAATAAAGATCTAGTACAGGGTGACCAAAAATAAAAAGAACCCATAAAATTTGTATTAAGTCCTACAAAGATCCAGCAAGTGTGGTGATTTTTGCTGGACTGATTTTTGCTGTGATTGCTGCCTTTAATTCACCAATCGTTTGTCGGTTGTTCTGGTACACATTAACCTTGAGATAATCTGCGAAATCCCCAAAGAGGAATCTGTTCGAATAATTGACAATTTTGCGTGACATATGCAAGTTTGCCTCCAATGCCGCGGAGGCCATTTGGAGCATATTTTGGAAAGAACATGACTTTTATTTTATGCAAAGTCACCAAGATAACTAAAACTTTGGTGAATGATTATACACAGACTGAAGTTTAAGTCCAGCAAATGAAAAAAATCCAAAACCCATAAAATTTCTATTAAATCCAACAAAGGTCCAGCAATTGTTGGATTTAATAGAAATTCTATGGGTTCTGGTTGGTTTTTTTTTGGTGGGTTACCCTGTACTTATCTTAAATGATGCAGAGTTTATGATACTGAGTGATTACATAATTAATGAAGTACACACTCATTGACTTATTAAGTGTATTAATAAGTAACTAGGGGTAGGATAAAGAATATTTAAAGTAAGTAAAGAGGTAAATTGTAATGGTGAACAATATATTGACAAGATGATTTTTTTTTATAGTTATTTATTCCATTGTGTCAATTGTTATTGTCAGAAAACTTAGATTTCTTCCTTTTACTTGCATGATATTGTATTATCTTAAATGAGAACAATTTGCCATGTGTGCTTGGATATATAGGCATCTTTCATTTTAGTTGAGTGCATTGATTTGTACTAAGCTGAAAACCAATATAAGGAAGAATGTTCGGGAATAATGGATTTTTTTGTGCACATTAGAAGAATAATATGACTCAGCTAGGACATACATGTACTATCACCATGATTGTTTGTGGAAGTTTATGAAGAGATGTAGTATAGGTTATTTCAATCATTTTCATTTGTGGAAATGGACTAGATCAACAGTTTTTATTCTTTTTCAGGGAAGAAAAATGTCTTGATAAAGATTTCACGCTTTTTCAGTCCATTCAACAGAACATTAGTGATTTTCTGTGAAAACTTTGATAGAATCAATCTAGTAATATAATGTTTGTTAGGATGAACTATCAAGGTTAAAATATCTATCATCAGTATAATCTAATGGTTAGATTTGTTCAAGCTCATTTATTTTTTTTACTGAATTCTCCCACTAAATTTTCATATTACCTCAATGTTGTACATGTATTTGTTGCAAAGATGTCATGATAACTGGACATTGTTACTAATTAAGCCAGAACTATTCTACCATCCCATTGCTGTATAAAATAGGTTCTATTATTTATTATTAATGAATTTCTGGTAACTTGATATATAAATGCTATCAAGGTGAACAATTTCTATAGTTGAAGGAAGTCTTTCTAAGTTGACTTTAATTATTGCCATTGATTTCTTGTCTTTTATCTCCACTCTTGTGAGTGACTGCCCCAGGCTGTATCATCCTCCACTGGGCCAGCACAGCTGATGCTCAGGAATTTGTTAATTAGACCATATTACAGAGGATATCACTCATGCTTTCTACAGTAGTGACACAATTTTTCTGCTTCCCTGCTTGATCAAGCATTTGGATAATGGACCACTCTGCCCTCCAGCCTTTATTTGAATTAAAACTAGTGTTTGGTAGTGGATAATCCTTGGAATGACAAAGCTAAAGGAAAAAAGCCAGTTTGGTACACGGTAGTGACTTGGTTTATCTGGCTTTTCATCCATCTTATACGTGTTTTGGTGATATAAGTGTAGGTGATGTACCAACCAACTGTTAGTAACTAGGTGACAGGCATGTTACAGTGGTCGTAAAAATAAGTGTGTAGTGTGTACATCAACGGATGTGATCAATGTTTTTAAGAGGTGGATTAACCAACCCGTGTTACATGTAGAATACAGCAGTATCCCAATATTTACCCACATTTTATGAATCAAACAAGTGACATTTTTCCTTGGATAGTTTAAACACAAAACGTTACAATGACAACAATGGCTTTAGATTTAAAAGTAATATTGGGTAAGAAATTTTTAACTCTTGTCATATCTGTATGTTTTTTATTTGATTTTCAACCAGTAGAGGATTTATTTATTTTCGTGTTATTAACAAAAATTTAAAATAGAATTTGGTTTATGGTATGAAGCTCCTGGTTAGAATTGCTTGGTTTCTTTGTCCATGAATCTCTTTGTTAAATGTTATACAATATGTTCAAATAGGTATACCGGTGTAACATGCAGAAATGTTAATGTTTTCCCATAGATTTCAAGTTTTACGCTACATTACAAATTATTTTCTTACAGAAAGTATATTTTATTATAACTGCACATATACATTGAACAGAGCACACCAAATGTACACATGCCATACAATTACAATGTACTTAAAAATGTTTATCTATGTCGAACACAAAGAAAGATCTCGAAGTTGATTCATTGATTAAGTAAGCTTATAATATAATATAAGTTAAAGTTTTTACAATCTCATCAACAAGACAATAACAAAAAGAAGTTTAAAAAAAAAAATTCTAACATTTAAATGACAAAAATCCAGCATCTGCAACTGACTGTATGTCCTTGTACATGGATTTTTCATATTATTGTCTGTCTTTATTTTTTGAGTAGGAATTTGGTTTCCTTTGAAAGTGTTGGCATTTGGGGTCAAACATTATCTGAGAGTAATAGTTAAGTTTGCTGTGAGTATTTGTATTGTATTGTTAAGAGTAGAAGGATTATTGTTTAGCGTGTGTTTAATGGTACAGTAATGATGGCGTATGGAGACAAACAAGAGAGTGTGCACAGTTCTTTGTGTATTCTTGGAGAAACTGGTATGTTTGATTGAGAGCTAACCTCAATCTGTATGGAGCTTGATCTTTTTCAACTCCTTTTGTTCATTGCTAAAGATTTACAGGACACTATTTCTGGCGATCTTCAATGGAACTTATTCCTTCAATGTCCAATCATTTACATGACAGGGTTGTAACACAATATAGAGGTAAGAATGGGTTTAAATAAGATCAGGACATTTCTATTGTTGTCTTGACTCTTCTACCTTTTCTGTTTGGCAGTTTAGTTCCATTAACTTAAAATTCCATTATTTTTGATCTAGTGAGACATTCATTTTCAAATATTTAATTTTTTTCGGCAGGTATTGTTATACTTTTGGCTATTTTTATCAAAAACATTTATGTCTCATCAAAATAGTTTGAAACAATGGAAACAATTAATTAGAAATAGAGTGACATCTGGGTTAAATTTCTTTTCCCACTGTAGCATATTTGTGCCACATTTGTCAGCTTAGTCTTAATGTCAGACAGGTTAACAAAACGACTTATTTTACTTTTAACGTGAATTTAATCAACCTGTTTAACAACAACATTAAGGTTAGATGCAAATTAAAACTGGTTTGAGAATTGAAATATATGTAACCCTTCATCTAAAATTTTGATTGAGAAATACATATGTATTTAACTCATGCATCATTAATTAATGTCAAGGCTTTATTTGATAAATTGCAAGTGAAATGGTTATCTTACCTGGTTGTCACGACCATATAATAATATGTGGTTTTAATTTATATGGAAAAATGTGAATATGGTATTATTGTTTATTAAAACAAGGAATTTGACACGAAAGAGAAAAAATGTGTAGTTTTCTTTTAGCATTCTTATTCACAACATTAAAATTTAAAGGCAGAGCAAGCCAGATTGTTTTACATATTTGAAAAAATATCTACAATTGTGAAGATTGAGCAAAAGTTATAATAGATGTTCATAGTGTAAAAAAGATGGCGGTGTGTAATCAATAAATTGTGTACAGTCTTACTTAAACTCTATATTTAACCTTTATTATGGCAGGTTGGGACTTTAATGCTGTGACATTTTATAAAAGCATGATGTAGAGAGGAGTAAAGGTCACAAATCACTGACTTAAATATACTCAATTTTAAATGAATTCTATTTCTATGTTAGATATTCTGTGTTTTTGTTAGGTAGTTACATGTATTGCTGCATTGTCTGTAATGTAACGTAAAAGAAATGAAATAATTTATTGTCTTAATATAACAAATAAGAGTGTGTAAAATTTTCTCTCCAGGAATAAATTACATATCCTCTGATCTGTTGTTGGGGTAATATGATTTAGCTAGATTTATAAAGATTTATTACCAACCCAATACCCATATCATTTATAATGTCAATTAACTGTCAACCAGTTTATATAGTCAACATAAAAAAAACACACACCCAGGTCGTATACAGTACTTGCGACATTTTTATAAGCTTTTAACTTTCAATCAGGTGTCCATTATTCATTATGTTTACTCATATTCTAAATTTGGCTTTTAATTTAAGAGTAAAAGGCATTATGTAAGATTTAGATAAAGAACTGACTAATCATGCTATAATAGTTCAAAACTAGATGATGAAAAATAAATATATATATTGGAAATTTCAGTCAAATTACTTTGTTCTGTCTGAGAAATTGATACATTGAAAATATCAGTCAAATTACTTTATTCTGTCTGAGCAAAGTAATTAATAGCCTATTCATATTCTCGATAGTCAAGTACCTTTGCCATGATAATAAACAAAGTCTTGATTTTCAGTCCTTCAATTGACTATCACCATTATAAGTGCTACCATAATATTATCGTTTAGCATAGATATTGCGTGTTTTGTCTAATCCACTCAATATCTAAGCCAACAGATGGTCTAGAAAGTTGATTATGAGTTTATCAGGTGAATAGATGACTAAATAATAATCTATACTATATGATATATAATATAACATTTGAAGCCAGAAAAAGACCAGCAATAGACTGATTTAGTTTTTGCATAATGTCTCTTTAAATGGTGGAGGAGTTGGGTGGCCAAGTGGTTTAACAGGAATGGATTAATACACTAACGTCTCTCATTGAGTCAAGTGGTGTGGTTTAGATTCCCCATGAATTATTGAAATAAAATTAAACCATATGTTAATCCTGAAATGATCTACTTTATATCGAGTTGACCTCCCCTCTCTCTCTCTCTCTCTCTCTCTCTCTCTCTCTCTTTTTTAATTGGTGGACTTTGATAGAAAACAGAATATTTTTTTTTATTTTTGGTGACATTGATGTAGAGGCAGACAGAAAGTTCAACTGAAACCATATTGGGAATATACATAACGATAGTAGTAGAGTTTCCAAAAATAGCTATTTTAGCTAGAATGTCGATAACAGTGTACAATGGGTCTGTAATGTAGATGTTGGCAAAACTTTTGTGCCCTATACATGTATGTACACCAATTAGTTTTGTCACTGAACCAAAGCTAACTGTATCTTACACACATACATTGTATTTGCGACCAATGTTAGAACCAATAATGTCAACGTTTTTTGTTTTTTTTTCCATTGGAAATGAATAATTTATCAAATAAGCTTATTCAACAAAATTGTCCATTATTTATGATTAACCAATGCCATGTGGCCAAACTGCACAAACACGATTTAAAGTATGAACTAAAGATAAACTTGGTAAAATGATCAAGGTAAATACGTCTGGTACCTTCGTTAAAATACAAAGGTCATTAATCGAAAAATATCCGCATACCAATAAAGGGAATATCTATTTTATTTGCACCAAGCTCAACAATTAGCAGCAACAAAATACCTGGGGTTTTTAAAAACATTTTTTTTTTTTTAAAGCTAATTATTATTGAATGTGGTATCTTGGATTTGGTGTCTTGATGAACAGAAAAAATTGCTGAAAAATATCCACATCAATTGAGAACTGTTCTGAATGGAGTACTTTCAACCAAGCAATGATTACATTTCACATAGTAAAAAAATCTCTGTTGGAACAAATTACTCATATTATGTATGGATTTTTTTATGGGTTTTTTTTTTCAAATTCTAATCTAAAGGATATCAGTGTTTTTACTACAGCCTTTCCCTGGATATTGTATGTAAAAACATTATCCATTCAACAAAGTAGCCTTAGGTAAAGTGCTGGTATTTTTGAAATTTGATAACCTTGATTTAATATTTTCAAATATTCTGTGTTGGATAGAAATTTGTTTTCAAAGTATTGAAACTAGTTCGGGTTGAAAGCAATTTCATTAATAATTAAAGTAAAACTTATCAGTTGACTCACACTTGTAAAATCTTAATAAGCTGCTATTTCAAACATTAGTTAAAATAAGGATAGGAAAATTATAACTGATATTGAAGTTTTAACATAACTGTATTGGGTGTGTTCATGATTACTAAATTAGCAATAATTGAAATGTATAGATTGTAGACTAATGTTATTTTTGTCTTGAATGTATGTACATTTATATTATTGTATGGATAGACAATCAGTTTTATTATACACCCACATTTTGATTATGCCGACACCCCTGCCTGTCCGTCGGTCCACAATTTGTTTCTGGACACTCTACATGTCACAATTTTTATCTGATTTTGAGGAAACTTAAAATATAGGTCAATCTCCAAAATATCTCAGTTCCTTTCTATATTGGCATGTATCGGACCATCACTTCTAAATTTTATGGTCCTTGTTTTACTTTGTTGAACTTGTGAACGTTCGAATGACAAAAGTTATCATCCGATCTGTATGAAATTTATACGCATCATTTAAATTATTGACACAAAGAATCCTATTGACTTTCAGCAATTTTCAAAAATTAGTTGTAGAGTTATGGCCCTTGATGAACCTTGTGAACGCTTGAATGATGAAAGTTATCATCTGATCTGTACGAAATTTATGCATCATTTATTATATTTAAATTAGTGAAACGAAGAATCCTATTGAATTTCAGCAATGTCTGTCAGTTATTTCTAAATTTTATGGTCCTTGTTTTACTTTGTTGAACTTGTGAACGTTCAAATGACAAAAGTTGTAATCTGATCTGTATGAAATTTATATGTATTATTTGAATTAGTAAAATGAAAAGGCCTGTCAAATTTATATGTATTATTTGAATTAGTAAAATGAAAAGGCCCGTCGAATTTCAACAATTTCTGTAAATTACTTCCAGAGT